CACTTTTTATTATCTGACTGGAGCACCAAACACATGGATTGAAAATCCCACTTGAATTGGATTTGATTTAGTTTTCTGCTTGTATTCTTTACTGCAGTAAATTTTTATTTCAATTTATTGTGATATGCAATTGAAGGGTAAAAAATTAATGTTTTACTGGAAATTGTATAAGCCTCAAGAATATCTGCTGTAAAATTAATGAGTTATAAATTATAACATAATATAAAAAAAAAATTGTGGTATATTGCAAGTAGTGACTTTTTTAAACATCTAAAATGGCACTTTTCTTTCAAAAACTAAACTCATAAGTATAATTCTTAAAAATTAAGAAGGTTTTATTTTAAAGAATAATTTTTCCTAGTAAATTCCTAAGAATTTCCCAAGTATCAAGAATCTATATTTTTAAGTAAATTCTACCTGTAATCATTCCTAGGAATTTCCTAGGAAATTCTTAGGAACCTAGTAATGTTTGTTCACACCTCCAGAGAGCTTAAATGTTTTTAGGAAAATTCCACTGACTCCTAAGAAATTCCTAGGAAATTCCTAGGAATCCTAGAAAGCTAGGAAACCATTTTGCAAGGGATGTGTAAACAAGACATAATTTGTCACCCACAATATTAAAAGGTAATCAAATGGTTTTCTCGTGAAATTTGGAAATAATTTCACTGGTGTTTTGTCAAAATTCTGATCATTTTGACAAAACACGTGTGAAATTATTTCCTAATTTCACTTGTCGCCATTTGATTACACATACAAATTATAACAATCAATGACATGCAAATCAGAAATGACCCTGCAATGTTGGACAACTCAGCAAAAACCATTCATTGTTTTAAAAGGAAAAATATCTATAAAATGGACTTCATCATTCAATAATGTACAACAGAAAACAAATTTCATGAAAATCAGCAGTGTCTCTTACAATGTCTCTGGTTGGGATTAAAGCCAGAGTATAAAATTTGTAGTCATAAAATGCAATAAATTATAAAAAATTTACTTCACTATTTAATAACTACAGCAGTAAGGGAGTCTTGTGCAAATAATGCTAGAAAATAGTCCATCTACTAACTATTCAATCATATCTTATTAAATGTTAATTCAATCAACTGAATTGTTCACTTTCCTGGTAGGTTGCCAACCATTAGTTTTGCCCTTGTGGTTAAAGAACTAATTTTGTTTTTTAGGGCTTGCTTGATTGTATATGCCTTCCCCCCTTGCTTTACTGCAAAATCTGAAAAGAAAAAGAAACAAAAGAGCTTAACTTACTGGCCTTACACATGACTTGTTACTTTGGGAAGACTCAGACCTCAAAGGTCTGGTGGTATACCAAACAACAAGGAAATGTGGCCACAAAGCTATAACCATGTTACAGCTTGCATTTTTTAACCTTACATCTGATTGACTTTTTCCTTGTCAGATAACATTTCAGAGTTAATTTTTTCAGATTTGCTTAGAGAACCAAAATCCAACAACTTAGCTCCATATCACAAGATGACAAAAAGAAATGTGCTCAGACTCACCACTGTTAAAAGTAATTGTGCACAAGTAGAAGGCATCCCCATACTGTGCCTCTTTAAGGACATCTTCCCTTGATTCTGAAGTTGTCTGTTTTGAGGTGTAGAATACCATCATCTACAAACTGAACAAAGTAGTACACTGTACAAGCAGGAAAGAAACCTAAATTAATAGAAAGTTTTACATATTAAAAAGAGAGTTAAATAGTATGAACAGAAAGTTTTATTTCAAACATGTGCTAGCTCTTAATTGAAAAAATATAATGCCCTAATTTTGACATGAAGCCTTGTTCAGACAAATTGAGAGGTACTGTATTCATTTTAAAGTGTTGTGGTCTCCAGGGTCTCTCCCTTTTTAAATCACCTGCGGTGTGCACACATGGCCCAAATTTGAAAATGAGAGGGAAAGCCACGAATAGACAAATCAAAAACAAGAAAACTAAATACATGTCATTTTTGCATTCTCAGTACAATTTGGGGGATATTTTGGAGGCAGATCAATCTCTTTCAAAAGACCTACAATGTGTTTCTGGAATATATTTCACAACAAATTGAATTAAGAGAAAATCAACCAGTAAACGATCGCTATCCTCCAATCTCTTTTTGCTCATGGCAAAGGCATCTTAAGCTATGAACCCAAGGATTAATAGTTACAAGTAATTGAAATTAAGCGATAAAAATCATTTTGTAAGACAAATAGCGAAATTCAAACTACCTTGACGATGTATGCTTGATAAGTTATACATATACATTCCAAATTGCTTCGAACAAAGGATACTAATTCAAAGTTAACACAAAAGGTCACAAACCTTGATCCTTCAATCATTTGGGAGCTTTATGCGATCTTCGAGAGTTGGTATTACCTTCCTTTGACATGGTTAAGTAACGATAAATATAGAAACACGTACTGTAGCTGAATGACGGTTAGCTTGGGCCAACTTGACCTTTGATACAAGAATAATTGATTTTGTGCTCTTTGCTGGTGAAGGGGCATTGTGGGTCGTATTGTCATTGGGGCATGTGGGTCACGTTGGTCACTGGGGTCATTCAGGTCAGCAATCAAATGAGCGAACATGGTGGATGATAGTGAGAACTTCAAAGGTCTATATTTACAATATTATGCGACTCTTCCACACATATGTTCCGAGAGCTACAAAATATAGATGGAGCAAGGAACTAAATTAATGAGCGAGAGAGAGGAGAGAAACCTAACAAAAAGTCGCATTGATTTCTGTAGGTCCGGGTAGCTCAACCTTGTCTTTCTTTTTGGATGATTTTCAGCTGCCTGAACCAAAACAATTTAATGATAAAATGAAAATTAACAGTTTTTCCAACAGTGGTGATGAATTTGAGACCGAAAGAGTTAAAGAGCTCATGTCAATGAGTGACAATCCGGCTCGATTTACTGATTTGGTCAGGGAAGACCATAGTGGTGTTTCTTATGCAGACGATTTTCCAGATGTTGTTGAAACGTTAGCTGAGGAGGAGACTGATGAAAAGAATACCAATGAAGAGACCGACAACGGCAGTGAATCATCTGATGATAATTTTAACCGACCTCTCTATCCTGGATGTTGTCTTTCACCTCGAGGATCAAATGTTGTATTATTTTGTGCAGAAGTTTTGACATTCCTGCAAAGTGTTTGTTTGGAATATGTTGCAATTCAGTGGAACATATATGGATGCCCATATTGTCTTCATCTTGGTGAAACTTTGAAAACTAGTGAAAGTGAGCACACCAGGGCATACCCCTTTCATATAAAAGGACATCAAAATGAAGAAGAGGGACATGCAACAAACAATTATACCTGCCAGGACAATTGGGAAACGGACACACAAACAAACACTGCTATTTTATCAACTGAAGCATCAGTACCTTTTCAGTATAGCTATTTCCTACTTATCATCGGTTATAATTACACTAGTGCGAGGAATGTGGGCAAAAAGACTTGATAAGCTTGTGTAATAACTACTCCATCTCAGATCAGAACTAATTTATTCAATAATCATAGTTACACAATATGCTAATGTGAATACCTGTGATATGATTGGATACTACATTTCTCCTATTGTTTTAAAGGTCCACAGTCCCTTTGTGGAAATTATATGCCAACGTGTAATCATTTTAACAATCATCTATTGTAATCACTCAATACTATTATCACAAATAATTATAACAAATATAACGTGACTCAACAATAACTAAGTTCATGACTCCAGCTGCTTTTCTTAGGTGTACAATTGGAAGTCATCAAATCGTTTAGGCAGTCGTCATTCCCTCTGTTGTCTAGTTGGTATTTCTCATAGTGGTTCTTTCTCCTTTTCCTGCTTGATTTGAGGTGTCTCTGTTGGCTTGTCGTACCGTGTCATTTGTTCTTGCTTGCTGTTGGGTTCTTCTTGGGTCTCAGGGTTCTTTATGTCTCTCAGACTTTCTTCTTTATGGTCCTGTTGCTTGGTGTTCAATGGCGTTGTACCGTGTTGTACCGCGTTGTTCTTCACTTCATCTGCCGTGTTGAGAACTGAGTTAACTAGTTTGAAGTGGCTAGCATCACGCGATATGGTGTGTCCATCTGTGGTTCTTCTAGCTGTGATCTTTGATCCCTCATTGTCACACACCATGTAGAATATTGGTTCATATGGTGTGCTCCATTTGTTCTTTCTTTCTTGCGCAACCAATACATAGTCTCTGATCAACAATCTCTTCTCTTTTGTTTGAGTGTTCTCTCGTTGTTTTTTCATTCTTTCCTTGTACTTTGCATCATTAACATTCATCTGTTCATCTTCTGATGATTGTTGGTTGGGTGTTGAGTAATCTAATTTGGTCCTGATGAATGTTCCTCTCATAGCTTCATATTGTGAGATTCCTGTTGCTGGGTGGGGTGTCAGTCTGTATGCAGTCAGCATGTCATGAATTGCATTTTGGCTTTCCAATTTATCTTTACCCTGTAGATGAGCTATTCGTTCAGTTTTGTTTATCATCTCCATGAATCTTTCCATTTCGCTGTTAGCTCTTGGGTGGAGAGGTGTCACATTGTGAGTCTCAAATCCTTCTTCTCTGGCAAAGTCTTTGAACTGTTTGGAATTGAACGGTGGTCTATTGTCTGTCTCTACTCTTCTTGTGGTTCCATAAGTAGCAAACACATGTTTTAGCCTTTCTTTGTTGACTTGGAATGATGTTGACGGTACTCGTTCTGCAACTGGGTACTGGGTTCTCTTGTCGATGATTACTAAGTTGTAGTGTCCATCAGGGTATGGGCCTCCAAAATCCACTGATACAATGTCCCATGGTCTGTCTGGGATGGTGGTATTCTTGATTGGTTCCGTTTGTTTCTCTCTTGTAGCTACTTGACATTTGGAACATTGGTCAATGGCATTGTCTATCATGCTGTTCATGTAGGGGAACCAATACTTTTTGCGTAACATTTTCTTCGTCTTTTTCTTTCCAAGGTGCCCTAAGCTGTGTCCCATCTTGACAACTTTTCTTTGCAGTTTCTCTGGTAACAGGATCCTTTCTTGTCTGAAGATGAGTCCTTCTGCTGTAGAGAGTTCTTGCTTGATGTGTGTATATGGTTCGACATCTTTGTCTTTTTTTGTGTGTGTCCCAGTCTCCTTTTGCTATTGGTTGGGCTAGTTTCTGCATGGTGTTGTCTTTCAGCGTTTCTTCTCTTATCCTCTCTAAGACTACTGAATGTTCAGCTTCTACTGTCCACTTGATGACTTTTTCTGTTCCATCGTCCTCTGTTTCGGGTAACGGATGCCTTGAGAGGTAGTCTAATGGATCAGCTCAATCTTTTCCAGGTTCGTAGATTAGTTCATAATCTACGTCTTGCATTTGCATAACCCATTTCTCTATTCGGGGAGGCATTGACATCTTGACTTTATTGAAGAGTGGGAGTAAAGGCTTGTGCGCTGTTACGATGGTGAATCTCGGTGCTCCAAGTAGGTATACTCTCAGTCGATCTTTTGCCCACTTGATCGCTAGTGCATCTTTCTCCGTGGCTGTACTTCTTCTCTGTCTCAGTCATTGTACGACTTGTGTAGTGGACTGGTTGCATGCCGTTCTCGGTCTTCTGTAGTGGTGCTGCAGACAGTCCTTCATTGTAACTGGCTTCTGTTCTCAATATGATTTGCTTGCCTGGGTCGAAGTATGCCATAGTCTTCTCATCCGATTAGTTCTCCTGTATTTTCTAAAATGCCTCATGTTTTTCCTTTCCCCAATGGAACTTGGTTTCTTTTCTTGTTAGACGATGTAATATTGCAGCAATGCTTGCGTAGTTCAGGATGAAGTTGTCTAGATCGATAGCCCACCATTCCTAAGAAGCTCCGAACTTCTTCCTTGCTCTGAGGTGCTTTGCATTCTTTAATCGCTTTCACTTTACCTGGTGATGGTTTCAGTCCATCTTTAGTGAAGATGTGTCCAAAGAACTCAATCTCCTCTTTCTTAAATTCACGCTTGTCTTCATTGAATGTTACTCCATGATCTCTGGCTCTTTGCAACACTGTTCGCAATACTTGTTGGTGTTCCTCTGCATTTCTTACACCTAGAAGTATGTCATCCCTTTGATTTAGGCAGTGAGGAATGTCTCCAAATACTTTAAACATTAATACCTCATCGAATACATCCGGCAACAACTTGGCGCCAAAGATCAGTCTAAGTGGTCGATAGTTGCCCCATGGCGTGCTGAATGTTGCCACCTTTCTGGTTTCAGGGTCCAGTGCTAACTGATGGAATCCTTACTTGAGGTTAAGTTTCAAGAGTACTTTGCAGTCGTGTAGGTGATAGATGAAATCCTCAATCTTTGGTGCCTGTATGCATCTGTTTCTCTTTGTGGATTGATTTGGGATTCTCATATTTATGCTGGCTCTTATCATGTGTGATTCTAGCTCATTCTTGTTCGTCTCGGCAAATTTTGGTTTTGGCTGGACCACGAGAGGTGAGCACCACATGATCGCTTCGCCTGGTGGTACTTTTTCAAAGATTTCCTTCCCTACGCCTTCGTCAATCCATTGTTTCAATGGTTGCTGCAAGTGGTAGGGTACATTTCGTGGTTTCTGTGCCACCGGTTTTGCTTGGGGTTCCATTTCTAGTTTGACTTGCATCTTTTCTCCAGTTTCTTTTTCCTTGAAGCAGCCAATTACATGAAATGTGTCACTATACTCTGCCAGTAATGCTTCAATTTGGCTCGATGTTTGGACTTTCTTAATCCTTAAGTTGTTTCGCTCTTTAAGTGTTCCTTCCTGATCAATCTTGAGCATTCCTAGCTCGGTAAGTGTGTCTTTGCATATAAGTGGTGGCGATCGAGTCTATCTTCCTTTGATGACTAGGAATTTTGCTGTGATTCCTCGGGTCTTTGTTTCTGATCAGTGCTGTGAATTCACCCTTGACCTCCAACCTGCTTTGTAAGGTTTTCAGTTTGGCATTAGAAGGTGATAATTCCTGTATTTCTTGAGATCTGTGTTTGAGTGCTCTGAATTGATACTCATCCATTATGTTGATGCTGTCTCCGCTGTCCGGTTCCACATCTGCATCTAAATCAGCGATTCTCAATCTGACTGTGTTGGTTTTATTACTTGATTGTACTTTCTTTGCTTCATAGTTAAGGTGATGTGCTGTTTGTTGTAGAAATCCGTCATCTGAATCCTCGCTTGAGTCTGTGGTCTTTTTCACACGTGGCTGTTGTCGTTTCTGCTGTGGTTTTGTGCCTTTGTTGCCTTCAGTCGTTTCTTTGCTTGGATTGCTTTTGCAGCATTTCGCAAAGTGGTTGTACTTTCCACATTTCAAACATTGCTTTCCATATGCAGGGCAGTTTTGACCTGGTTTGTGATCTCCGCTTTTTCCACAGTAGTGACAGGGTTTCTCATCTCTCTTTTTATTTGATTTTGTTTTTGACTTTTCATTTGATTTTGTTTTGACTTTTCATTTGATTTTGTTTTGTCTCTTTCCTTGATGTTGTTTGGGTCTCTATTGCGGTTTTCCATGAATTCTCGTGACGTTGTGCTTGTTCTTCATGTCCTTTACTTGCTGGCTGATGTCATTACGTTGTCCCACTTCCTCTATGAACTGATCCAGATTCCATTTCCTTATGCATTCCTTTATCAGGTCTTAGTTTGGTATGGTTTGGATCAAGTGCTCTAGGATTCGATCATCCAATTGACCGCCAAATTCACATTCTTTAGCTTTTTCTCTCATTCTCGCCATGTAGCTTATGATGCTTTCGTTGGATTGTATACGTTCCTTGCTAAACATGTATCTGGCGTGATGCTTATTTCTCTTTGGTAGGAAATGATTATTTAACTTTCTCTTGAGCTTTGTATAATCATTATCACCGTCCTGTGTTGGGGTTTCTGGTAGATTTCTGGATAGTTTCTTTATCTCTGTCCCACCGTAAATCTTCAGTGCCGAAACTTTTTCTTTGATTTCACTAATTCCTGGATAAGATATTTCTTCTTTGAAATCCTCCAGCCATTCCTCCCATGCGTGTCTGATTTGAAGTCGGTCCTCGGGTATATTGAATTTCTCAATTCAAAGTGTTTTCGAGGTCGTAAAAAGTGAATATTTCCCGCTGGATTCGCTGCTGCCACTCCTTCGTTGTTAGCCATGTTCGCCAATTGATTGATTTCGCAATTCACACGAGTTTGGTTCTTTCAATTGATTTCCTCATTGTAGCTTTTTACTTTTGCGCTTGATGCGGCTCGCTTCTTTGTTATGAGTCGATCTTGGATGTTTCTACTTAATTTCGCTTGGTTTGCTGCCTAATGTAACTTGTTTTTCGATCCCGTCTTGTCGCCAATGTAATAACTACTCCATCTCAGATCAGAACTAATTTATTCAATAACCACGGTTACATAATATGCTAAATGTGAATACGTGTGATATGATTGGATACTACAGCTTGCAGATCAATAGCCTTTGGCTTGGAATTTTAGGTGTAATGAATTTTTTACAGGAAGAAAAACATACTATGTAGTGTTAGTAAGAGCAAATGAAACTGCTCTTACTGTCACCAGAGAGTAATTTTACTTAACTTTATTTTTTCTTCAGCATTGATCCTATTGTCACATTTTGTTCCCAACAAAGAAAAATTTGCTAACCTATGTGCTATACTTAAGAGTCTATTAGTTTAGAACTGACCAGGTCCATGTGCTTAATTACATGTACATGTATATTGATTGTATACTGATACATGTATACTGATATGAAGTTCCTGGCATAATGCTACAGTTGATTATTAGTTGAAAATTCAGTGGAAATGTCTTTTCCTTTCACGATTCTTGAGATGGATGTGTTATACTCAGACTTCAAATGTTAAATTTTCAGAACTTCAGTTGAAATCTCATCACAGGCCATTCCGTCTACGTCAGGTATGGCCAGAATTACTCAAGAAATTTACAAACACACCTGATGAAGTTTGCGAGAAAGGTACAAAATTAATATATAGTACCATTTTAATAGTGATTACAAATACTTTTTCTCGGGCCTAAATTTCTGGGTTTTACAAGGGTTTGTTTGTTTTTCTTCTTCAGATGAACCAATTCTGTGTTATCAAAGGAGTTCATTTTTTCCTCTTAAAGAGGAACGGAGAGTAAGTGTCCCAGAGACTATAATGAAGCATTTTGAAGTTATAAGGTGCTTAAGCTTGGATTTAAAATGAGTTTCACCACCTTGCTGCTAATTTTGTCAAAATTGTGCATGTAAATTTTGCATTTTTGCTTTTATGAAGGTTGTAACAGGGCATGTTGCTCTCAGGGAAGCTTGCTTTTTTGCCTTTATTAAATATATCCAAGGAAAAATAAATTGAATTTATGGATATTGGGATTAAAAGTATACATAGCAGTTTTCAATTTTCTTTTTAATTATAATAATTTAAATTGTATTTTCAGTGTGGCTACATTTTGAAATTTTCTTTTTGTTACAGATTAAAGATGACAGAGTTCTTAGAAGATTATTTGAAGAGGTGATTTAAGATATTCATTCTTTGTTCCTTTTGTAACATACTTGTATGGGTATATTGCAGAATCCAGTCACATTTCAAAGTGCATTACTTGAAGAAAGTACACATTTACATCTTTAACACAAGAATGGCATGTTTGTAATTTACTTGGCTGAAAAAGATAAGCCCAATGCATGTAATTTTGTATTGGTATTATGGTCAAAGACCTGTTTTGATTAATTACATGTATTAATTACATGTACAGAATGTAGGTGAAACTTAGCCGCTCATTATATTCAATCTCTCTTTTGGGTTTAACTTTAGGCCAAACACAATGTTCTTTGTGGTAATTACCCTATCAGTTCCAAAGATGCCCTCACATTGGGAGGAATGCTAGCTTATATAGACAATGGCAAATATGATAAAGAAGAACATGCTCCTGGCTGTTTCAAGTAAGGTTGATATCTTTTATTCTCACTAATCACATACACAGGCATGTTCACTCAAATGATTCTTCTGCACATACATGTGTAGCCCTAATCAACATTTTTTGAAACATGCAGCTCCCTTCTCAATGTCACATTTCCTTCTTGTGGTTTGATTTTTTCATCACCAACATGATGCCTAGGTAGAAGGGGAAATCTTAACTTTTGTAATAGTGCACAGTAAAGTGCAATGAAAATCCATCAGATAGAAATTAAGAGCAGTGGCAAGGGTAGTTATGGGAGGGGAACCAGGTGCAGGGCATGTCAATTTAAAAGTAGGGTGTAATAAAAATTATGAGTAGAGACAGTAAACTTTTTGACATACTTAAACTAGAAAACTTATTACAAGAGGTGAAGATTTGTCTTGATGTGGCTATTACAGTGTTGTTATGCTGAAGTGACAGTTTAGCTCATAATTTTTATGCTTGAATTTAACATTGGCTTTTGAACTTTTTCTATCTGCCTTTTTTAATCCTGAGAAACTGTTGTTTCCTTGGGAAAAGTATTTAAAAGGCTCGTTCACCTTTGGAATGTAAAGTAGAACTTCTTAATTATCCAGGCTCGTTGGGACTAGACAAAATAGTCGGGGTATTCAAGGGTCAGGATAGTGGAGAATATAGATATTACGAGGAGCAAAAACTGATTAGATTAAGAAAGCAGTATTTAATCATATGAAACAATAAATTTACATATCATTTTGAAAAAAATATGGTCTACTGTCTACTGTCTACTGTCTACTGTCTACTGGGAATACCTCTACATGTGTGTATTAACAATTAAAATTGATAAAAGATGTTTTTATATTGGTCTAAAATGTTGAAGTCAGTTTGTTTTAAAGAAGAACACTGCATGCACATTGAGAGTTCCATCATTCCACCTGGCATCCAGGGCTTTATTGAGCTGTTCCCTAGGTGCAAATTTCACTGATTTACACTTCAGTCCTTCGCTGGTCTCTAAGTTGTCAGCAAACTTCAGTATTGTGATCATGACTAATAAACATTCCTGACAAAATTGGAACCAGAGAAAAAGTCAGGATAACTGAGAAATAGCAATAATCAAGGTCACGATAATCAAGGTTTGACTGTAGCAAACAATTCTAATGAGGGCAATATGGAGGTGTAAATGTAGATTGGAAATTTTGGTTTTCTGAATGGTTGATTTCACTACAGCTTGTCATCACTAAATGTACATGTAAACTAAAAGGGTGTCTAGTTTTGTGGTATTCTTAAACATATTTTCTGTTGTAGGAACAAGCTGACAGACTATTTACCTGCATTTGTCTGCAAATCCAGTTGGCCATTCCTTGGTCGATCACCTAATTCAACTATTGAGCAAAAACTCCTCCAGGAATATCAAAATGTCTCTCAGCAAGTTAAAGATGTCAAAGCCTGCCACAAAATGTTCTTGGAGTACTGCTGGAATTTTTCATTTTATGGGTATGTTGTATATAATTATATTTCTTTTTATTTCATGATTCATTGTCAGAGCCTTAAGAATATTTCATGCAAACTTTTCACCACCCAAACATCAGAGCACAAAGACTGAGAATGTTTTTACAACATACTTTATAACAGACACACACCAGTTGCCAAATTTACACCCTGAGTTGCTAATTTAGTGGCCCAAATTGCTCATCTATTCACCATGCAGTTCACAGCATGGCTACACTAACTGGGGTCAATTAGATGAAACACTTAAGCAAAACACCCAAAACTCAAAGCTGAAATTGCTGAGTTACAAGGCCTCAGGACAGACCTAGAAAAAAGGTCTGAAAAATCAAAGAGTGAATTCTTGAATTTCAAGGTGGCAAGGGAAAGAGCTAGTAACAGCTTTTTTTGCAATCATGAGCCCTTGACTGTGGATTAGAGCAATCCCTTGAAATAGGCTGGGACTGATCACCTTATTTTAGATTGCAATCTCGTGACTTTGAAGAAAGCACTGCATGAACAACAAAATTCTAGTTAGCAAAGAAAGCGACTAGCAGTTGCTGTAAATAATCGAGGAATTATCAAGGAGTAACATCCAGTCATGGTAACTGGCCCTGGCAGTTGCATTGAAAAGCAAAGACTCGCTTTTATGCAGTGGAGGACTGTAGAGCATGGTGGTTTTCAGAGGTCCAAACAAGTGAAAGTCGGAAGAAAAAGCTGTCAATTTTGTTTCTTTTTCATACTCGTATAGTTCCATCAATGCAAAGTATTTGCGTTGTAGATTGAAGCATTTCTGAGCTAAATGGCTAAACTTGTTAAGTAATTGATAATGAATGATGTTGAGTTATATGTTTCAAACTAGCTCAAGGCTCTGTTGTTTGTTGAAGTTCAAGACAATTTAAAAGTTCTTTGTGTCACCTGAAGTATAGGTTAACTGTTGAGATTGAGTTACCGATATATATTTTCTATAGATTAATGTTATGAGGTTGGTGGTTTTCTGCACAATCCCCCCATGTAATATCTCAACTGTATAGAATATGCAGGATGTATGAAATAAAATAGTTGAGTTTTTACTTTTCCAAAATGTGTAACTACTATCAATTACATCGCAAATTTTCGGGCATAATGCCAGAACAGTCATAACACCAGAAAAGTTAGTTGTTTTTACGTGGTGAAGTTCTAATCTTAGGTTTCATAGGGCCTTGATTGTTGTTCAGGATAGAATTCAAACATGTTAAGCCCACCTTCCAGTGATCTTTTCGAGGAAAGTACCAATACAGAAAGGAGAAACATGCCATAGTTTGTGTGAAGGCCATCACAATGACTGGCTTTCCCAGTCATACCATACGTTTTAGTTGTCTTTTCAATGCTTCTTTATAAAGGGTTATTCTTTGTTTTCCTTCGTTGCAAACTTTGTCATCACTACTTGTTTTAGCCCTAAACACCAATTTGCCTAAAGGACTTTAGTTTAAATTCATTGTTCTGTTCCTGCACTGTGATTGGTCAGTTTAAGTGACCCTGGTCAGTGTAGCCACTTGGTAAATAGAAATGCAAAAGAATTCTTTAACAAAATTCTTTATTTTCTGAAATTGTTGTTGATGTTGATTGGTCAATGTATACAATTGATTCTTTCAGGAGTGTGTTCTTCCGTGGCCAAATTGAACGACCCACATCCTCACTTCTGTCAAACATCCTAGGGAATTCTGACCTTCCCGTTAGAGTTGCTATCAACAGAGAAGGTGTCCATGTGATTGATGACAATAAAAATGTAAGCTTTTAATTACTGATTAATGTGAATTTTCTTTGCTGTGGCTTCAAGAATTTTGCTTAGCTTTTATTTATGAGCACTGAATATTTTTTGTTCTTATTACTAGTTACTGTCTGCTGTTGGCATATTTATGATCCGATTTTAAACATTTTCATTCTTTTGTTACCTATGCCACACTTTAGGCAACAATTTATAAATCTCAATAAATGAAACAAAAGCAGACCAAAGCAATCACTGCTACTGTCCACACTGCTCCTGGATGTTACTAAAACTGGTAACGTGGAACAGCGAACGGCGAACGGGGAACGGGGGTACACGGTAACCTACCTGAGAATTCAAAATGGCGGAGTAAACGATGTTTACAAACACTGATTTTATCGCTAGGTCGCCGCTTGCAGCGAAATTAGACGACTCGCTTTTATTTAACTATTGCCCAGGCGAAGCCACGAAGCCTAGTATTCCTAGGCGAGAATTCGAAGTCAACGTTTCTGCAATGGCTGCCACCATTTGTTCTGACATCTCTCTTTGTTTTCCTTCCTGAAATCTGCATCTTTTGGCAGAGTTTTGGTATGTCGGTTGTTTGCATTGCCCAACAGCATTTTTTGCTGATAAGTAGCAAGGAGGTAATATCTTAGATTAACAGAAATGAGCTAGGAAACGTAATAACCAGTCTAGTTGTAACTTATTAAAATTACTACATGCAGATATCTGCTTACCGTTACCGCAAAATAACATCAGGAACATATCTTTGTATCAACCCATAAACTTCCATGTAAACAATAGAGAAATCAAGCATTGACAGAACTTTTAATAACATTTAATTTAACAGGAAAACATCAGTTATGTCTTCAAGAATGTAGGTGTATGAATTCACATTCATGCTAATGCTTACAATAATATTTACACTGCATTGATCATATTCAAGAGAAAGTGATTCCCATAATGGGCATGAAAGTCATTCAGCTGTTTGCTTTACAACATTGTTGACATTGCTAGGTTGTAATGGTGAAGATAGTGGAGGTAAATTTCATTACCTTGCAGTAAAATTACTCTATGAATATAAGAATAAATGCCGTGAGCTTGTAGTTCTGAGTTGATTGTTCAAATGTTGTGCATGAATTGTATTAAGATACTCACCTCTCCGAGGATTTGATTTCTATGCAACCTGCAATGTGTGCCGTACAAAAACTAAATTTATGAGGCACTCAACATTTCATAGTAAAATCCTTCAATAAGACCTACACTTACCATCCATGCTTTTTGCTCCGATGATCGCGTTCGAAGAGCACGTACTCAAAACTAGTTGCCAGACCCTTTTAGTTCCCTTTACTCCGCCATTTTGAATTCTCGGGAGGGTTACTGCTGTACACCCGTTCCCCGTTTGCCGTTCCCCATTCCCCGTTCCCCGTTACCAGTTTTAGTAACATCCACTGCTCCTTCAACAACTTGACATGCAGAGCTTACTGAAGGTGTCAACTTTTTTTGAGATTTTTACAGCTGACATCTTCCTTTGTACTTCACAGGATATACTTCTGAGCTTAGCATTTGAGGAGTTATCTTGGGACTACACGCCTGCCCCTGCACATGAGCCTGGGTGTTTGGACACCTTTTGGTTAGAGTTTGATGCTCCTGATGGAAGCAGTGATCCAGAAGAAGCAGTGCAAAGGTTACAGATCTTCTCCAGACAGGTGATGGTGGACAGCATTTTCAGTTGAACTAAAAACATGAAACTCTTCACATTTACAATCATAATGGTAATTTTCCATGTAAAGGATTGATGAAGATTTGAAGGTGGATCTACATCTTCTTGGGGTAGACTAAGAAAAAAATGTTACCTCTGGAGGGAAAAATGAAATGGGTAATGCTTTGGAACTGGCTTGCAAGACTGGCCAAACAATATGTGTCGAATTGTTCATTAACAGTGGTGTAAGATTTTAATTCTTTTTCATTATCTAACTTGTAGGCAGAAATGATGGATGCCATGGTAGAGTCTTGTGTTCTTTGTGATGAACCTGGGTAAGCTACATTCAATTTGTCAACGACTAAGTTATGATTAGTAAACAATTTAATTAGAGCCCATCCATTGACTGCTTCTTTGTTGACTTGCTGAGAGTGAAATTGTAATTTAAAGGGTTCCTGCTTTTATATCTTTGTGAGATGTTATATGTGTATACGTATTGTGATGCATTAAGAGAATGTCCACAAGAAAACCATGCAGGGGGTGATAAAGCTCAAATCATGGATTTGGCTTAAACTTGGCACACATTGCTGAGTATCATAAGTTAACAAATGTATGAAAATAATAGGTTACAATATTTCATTCCTTGGGATATATAGGGTCCCACTGGGAAAATACTCTTTCCTGAAATCAGTCGCCCCAAAATTTTATTACTGATTTTGGAAGTCCAATGATGGCTTTCTCTACTCGTGTAGGAATAATGATAAGAAGTGGTTGGTCATCAGAGATATTGGACCTTAAAATACCCTTAGTTTCTTACTTTGTCAAAACCAGAAAAAGTTGTCTTTACTTAAGGGAGATGTAAGGGAAGAAATGAAATGAAAAAGTTAAAACAGTTCAATTTTCTTGAAGCCTGATAGATATAGAACACAACCCAGTTGACTGAGTTGGCAGATGGCTTTTTGGTTTGTCACAGCAGCAATGCCAACGTAGCTAATTAATTATGCAAAAAATGCAGGAAAAGGGGGTTTTCCCAGAGGGACCCCGTATCTCCTAGGGAGTTAAATATTTTGACCAATTATTTTCACACATTTATTAACTCGTGATACTTAGCATTTGTGCCAAGTTTGAGCCAAATCAGTAATTTGAACTTTATTGCCCCTGCGCGGTTCTGCTCAGTTTTCTCGTGGACATACCCTTAGTCAATTTAAGGTCTATTCTTGATCAGTTTTGGAAAGAGCCTAGTCATGACAGTTTTGTCAACTAACGTCATCACTGTTTTCTCTTTTTTTGATTTGCAGGCCACATGGAACACTGGGTGGGTTATGTGCATGTTTAAGAATATTTTACTTGAACATAATGTTGTACTCGTACATGTATCAGCTTTAAACTGTTAAAGGACTGCCATCGGGAGAAAGTAAAACTTACATTTAACTGTTTTGGGCTTCTTTTGGGAATATTGTGTCATTAAATAATGATTTTGTCAGTGATGCCCCCTACTTGTAAATGATGTTCCTGTCTACCCTGAAAAATGCTTAAGTTGAATCTGTATTAATTGGCTCCACTCTAAAGCGGGACCACTCAAATGAAACTAGGAATAGTATTTTATAAGTAATTTTTAATCAATATTTCTCTCCTAAAATGAAAGAAAGGAGTATTCTTGAGCAAGATGCTATAGATTACACTAATTTGTGGTTAAGCAGTTAACTTGTATGAAGTGGTCACCCCATCATTTCCTGTGGGTGAATGCTAACCGGTAATACAAGTTTGACTCCATCATTTTGTTAAGGCTAAATCAGACTTGGAGAAAATCCCAGAACAGTGATTTATGCATTTTATGATGAGTTGAGGAGTTACTGAAAAGGAGTTTCATTTCTCCTGGGTCATCAATGACACTTAATTAAACATTAACTGATAGTCCATCTGATAATGACACTTATCAAAATAATGTGTTTTGTGATCATTCAGCTGGTAAAGTAAGATGTAGAGTGGACCGGCTCAGTCTCTCGACTCTTGAAGGTTTGTGTGTTTGTTTTCTTCCAACTTATTTCTGACTGCAGTAAGAAGTGTTGTGTAGTATTTAGGGTTTGGATAATACACGTAAGATTTGTGTTGGAAAATGTCTTGGAGTAGGGTGAATCATCTACGACATTGTACATCCCTGGTTTTTATTTTGTAGAGTGTACAGAGTATGAGAAGGGGGTATATCCACTCCATCTGAATAGGATGCCAGTCCCTCCCTTCTCCCAGTGTTTTTCAGGGTTTCTCTGACAGCTTACTGCTTCCTCTGAATACTTTAGGGTGGAGATAGGTACTGTGAGAGTGGATTATTTTGTCTGCAATGACAAGGTCAGAGTTTGAACTGAGCATGTTAATCACTATGCCACTGATTTTCCAATTTTGATGTGCATGTGTGTAGACTCCTCGTACACAAAGTGAAAAAATGATGATGAGCCTAACATCATAACTTCTTGTACCTGCCAGTTACTAATGTTTGGTTTTTCGGAAATTATTTTAGGGACCTTGGACAGAAAGAAGGGGTCTAACAAGTCTTTCACTATGTCCAACCCCTTCAGGAAAAGGCATTCAACAGGTCATTAAACAGACGGAGTGTATATCTTAGTTATGATGATCATCCCTCCAGTTGATAAAATGACGATATGGAGGCTGTCGTCAAAACAGTAGGATATAAGGACATGAAAGTTTTGTATAGAAGTCTATAATCATAACAAGTTTAAGTCAAAGGTGTAAATAGTTTCTTCTGTATGGATGCTACAAGACTAAGATTTAATGTTTTTCTGTGTCACTATGGTGACTCTAATATTTGGTTAGTGGCTTGCGAAGTAGGGGCTGGATAACCTTCAGTGATCTTATTTCGAGAAGTTGATCTTGCACCATATCATAGTCAACTCAAGTTTCAATTATTTTGTTTTGCCGTACTCATCTGTCGCTATAAACTTTTGTGACTTTATGGGAAAACAGCAGTTTGTTTTTTTAAGGCCATATTGAAGCGACTCTCGCTGCCGGTGAATTTTGCTATGTTCTCTCGGTAGATTGTCCTCACCTGTCCAAGAAAACTTTAGTGAGAGTAACATTGATCTGAAACCCTTAACAGTTAGAAGTTAACGTGTTGTAGCTTTTAGATCATACCTGTCCTGTTCCTCTGGGGTAAAAATTTGTAGAAGGAAGCGCTTATATCCAGGTCGTTGAAGTCGCGTGCAAGTCAGTTCCGCTTGAAATACTCAAGAACCTTTTTCAGTCACTCTTGTAACTTAGTTTTACCTTATAAATAACTGGTCAATGAGATTTCCATGAAGCATATTTAAAAGATTTATTTTTTAATCAAACGTTGGTAAAGGTTCAGGATTGGTAGTAGGTTAGTAAAGGTAGTTCACAAAACGTTTTAAACTAAGATAAAGAAAAAGAAGAAGTGTTGAAAAATAAAGAAATAAAATACGGTTATGTGGAAAAGATGATTGCAGGAGTGGATTTATAACAGGAAGTAAATTAGCATGTTACTTCCAGTGTTTACTAAAATGGTCCAATCGATAGACAACGTCATGTTTATCATTACCTTACTAATTTGTGCGCATGAGGTTTTGATGAACGTTAGGTAACGAGAGTAAACCAAAATGATGATGTGGCTATGAGAATAGCGCTTTATACTATTACCAAAAATAGATTTTGTTACGTGATAACTTATGAGACCCCCCGCACAGACTCAGACAAACATTGCGACCAGCGATTAAGGAAATGTATGAGCGAGAGCTGTAAAATTAAAACAAAACGACGGAAAATTTCGTCAAAAAATGACTTGGCGTTCAAGAAGGAAGCGGCATGGTTGGTACCAAACACTGTTGTTGGGGTGAGTGTAAGACAGACTCAAGATATGCAGATAAATGGCCAAAATCACTCAAAAGAGTGAAAGGAATCGGGGAAGAAAGTATTCATTCCTTTCCCAAAACCTTCGCGAGACATGGCAAAGTGCAAGCGTTGGCTAGCGGCTGGCTTGTTTGTGTGAGTTTTTTACGGAGAAAAACATAACAAGAAACACTGAAGATATATTTGTGCTCTTCACTGGCCCGGCGAAAAAGGTCCAACAGTCGAATTTCCCCATCCACTGAAGGCAAATCTAAGAACGGCAGCGCAAGTAAGTTGAGCACATGCTCCTAAGAGGAAATCACCCAAAGAAAGAGAAAATCCAGCGTCAAAGAAACAAATTATTCAGTGACAACTGCATAAACATTAACTACATGAACTGGCATTTAATAGAAACCCAACCAGTATTGAGCGAAATATACAAATATCCGCCGCTCGTATCTTACAAGAGAGGGCGATCGCACAAGGACATATTCGTGAGGGCCAAACTTTGAATAGGCTATTCTAAACACGCGCTGGGGAGTCGTGTAGGCCTGTCAACCCCCTTTTTACATTGTTTACATCAGAATTTTCTTGAAGAATTTTGGCAGCAAACCATTTTTTATGATCGATTGCCGGATCAAGGGTGCGATAATTCCCGCATCTCATACAGTCTGTACAAGATCTCGTTTACTGCTTAATTTTAAGCCCCTACATTTTAACCACCGTTTTAGCTGGGCTACAGTGTATTCTTCCGGTTCTCTTTCAAATTAGGAGCCAGGAACGCCTTCCTCTTCGGTCAGAACTGTAAGGGAATAAGCGAACTACTCGCCATTTCCCTCATCCTCAGAGACCAGGGGCTGAGTCGATTTCAAGTTAGGGCATGAAGAGCCCCTGGGGACATTGTCTTGCAAGACTGATTCCAAACGGTCGCAGTCGTTCTGCCATTTGATTGGTGCCAGAAAATCTTTGTGTTTTTCTGCCCAATCAGAGTAAAGTGTGCCTTAGAGTCCTTTCGTGTGTTTTAACACGGACATATGCAAGTAGCTCAGTTGCTCGCTATGTTTGGTTGCACCTTGCGACGGAGATTTGCTTGAGGTGAAAAGTTTCAGTCTCAGCACGCAAACGGTAAGAGAAATCGATCAGATTGTCCGCGAAGATCTTACCGGAAATTATACTGAATACTTTCGCAGGTATCACTAGAGAACGTGTTTTAAAGTTTGCGAGGTTTGTATACAAGACGATGGTTGCAGTCATTGATATGTCGCTTTAAACGTTAAACGAGATTTAAGCTTAAATCTTTCTAGATTTTTTGCATAATTTGCTGTGACTGAAACTTTGCCAATCCCGTGAAGTTATTTCGTCGCACGGGCCACGCAGGTATGTCGAGCAACTGGATGAA